AAGGCGGTCGCGTGCTTGGAGGGCTCCTCCTCGTATTTGGCGTCGGCCCCGCCTCCCGAATCCATGGATTTGGAGGTGGTATTCTTCCCCACGCCCATCCCGAGGCCGGAGCCGGCCGCCGGCTGTCCTCCCCGCAGCGTGCCCCCGCGTGCGTGCTGCTGGCTCTCCACGGGGCGGCGGCGGCGGCTGTCCCTCTCGCTGGGCGCCCCTCCCTCTGTCGCGCTCTGCGTCCGGTCGCCGACGAGAGCGGCTCCGTCACATGATCCGGAGACGGCCCGCCGAGGTCACCGGTGCGCGCTGGGCGTCTGGGGCACGGGAGCGCAAGCAGAGCGAGAGATCAGCCATTTCCACAGAAGGGCCGCTCCGGCCAAAATACCCACAATGCCACCAAACCACGTGACCACCCCGTCTTCGGTGGCGTCTGGAAAGGGCATCAGACCTTTTCCCCACAACAAAGCCAGAAAAACACGCAGAGCAGAAAACAATGGAAACATGCAAATCCAGCCAGCTCGGGAGATGATCCCCCGACTCCCTGCGAGAAAAGACTGGACAAGATCATCAGATCCATTAACTACCAGCTACCTAACAGGCCAGATGTTCTGAAAGGTCTCCTCTTGCTTAAAGTCTGGACTCAAGACTCTCACAGCCCTAACCACCACCTCCTCCGGCTACGCTAATCCTCTTACTTTAACCTGCTTAAATTATACAAAACATCGGCGCTGAGCTATTTCCAAACAGTGTTAAGATTTACTGATGAAATATGCAGGAAATGTGAGTGTTCATTAACCACCCTGCCCTATTTTCTTAAGGCCAGAAAGACGCTTCTCTCCCACTGCGACTGAATTAAGGGATGAAAGGCGGTGTTAATCCACACGTATGCACACACAATGAACAGCTAATTAAATCGACATGGGCTACCTGAGCCGCAGAAACTCCCCTGCCTCTGGAGAGGGCAAGAAAGCGATTAACAGGTGTTAAAACTGGCTTAAGCAAGACCATTAGCGTGAAAGCGCGGGCACTTCTTCATAGTGTTGTGCCCTCTGCAAAAAGATGAACTTTTAAAAAGTACCATGACTACTCACAAGAGAGCCCGTGGCTCCCACTGCAATCTGGACCGGATCGCGCTGCTACGCAACTGGAGTCCCGTCTTGTCTGCTCAGCGGCTGCTCCACAGAAACCAACAGGCTGAAAGAGAAACAAGAAACCAGTCAGGCTGCGTGGCAAGGGCAAAACACACCTTCAGGCATCA